GTAGCTGGGACCACAGGCGCCCACCATAATGCCTGGCTATTTTTTGGTTGCAGCCGTCATTGTTGTTTGGCGGGCCCGGGCTGGATTTGAACTCGCCACCTTAGGTGTATGTGGCTGGCGCCTTAGCCTCTTGAGCCACAGGCACGCTGAGTCAGATTTTTTTTTTTTTGAGATAGTATCTCAGTCTGTTGCCCCAGGCTAGACTGGCATCATATCAACCTCAATCTCTTAGGCTCAAGTGATCCTTTTGCCTCAGCCTCCGGAGTAGTTGGGACTATAGGCACCTGGTGCTTTTAGTAGAGATGGGATCTAACTCTTGCTCAGGCTAGTCTCAAACATCTCAGCTCAAGCAATCCACCTGCTTTGGCCTTCTGGGGTACTAGGATTACAGTCAAATACACATTTTTAGACCTTTATTTAAATTAAAAAAAATCTTGATGTCTATCTCATATATATAGTATCTTTAAAATGATATTTCTCTCATTATAGTTACTTCTTTAGGTTCTTTCAGTCAGGAGTTCTGATATATGCCTATTTCAGATAAAATACATAGACACATTGACTACTTCTAATAAGCTGATAGAATAAGAAATCAAGTTAAGGAACTGATCAGTGAAAATATGGAGAGATGAAGATTTTTTTTTTTTTGAGACGAGCCTCAAGCTATCCCCCTGGGTAGAGTGCCATGGCATCACGCTCACAGCAACCTCCAATTCGTGGGCTCAAGTGAGTCTCCTGCCTCAGCCTCCTTAGTAGCTGGGACCACAGGTGCCCACCACAACTCCCGGCTATATTTTTTTTTTAATGGTTACAGCCATCATTGTTGTTTGGTAGGCCCAGGCTGGATTCGAACCCGCCACTGTGGGTGTATATGGCTGACGCCTCAGCCATTTGAGCCACAGGCGCCGAGCCAAATATGGTTTTTTTGAAGAAATCAAGTCTTGTTCTATTGCTGGGGCTGAAGTGCAGTGGCATGATCACAGCTCTCTGCAGCCTCAAACATCTCAGCTCAAGTGATATTCCTGCCTCAGCCTCCCAAGTAGCTGTAATTACAGATGCAAACCCATGCCTAGCTCTCAAATATACAGATTTGTAGGCCGGGTACAATGGCTCACACCCATAAGCACTTAGGAGGCCAAGTTGGGTGGATTGCCTGAGCTCATAGGTTCGAGACCAGCCTGAGCAAGAGCAAGACCTTGTCTCTAAAAAATAGCCGGGGTTATGGTGGGTACCTATAGTCCCAGCTACTTGGGAGGCTGAGGCAAGGGAATTGCTTGAGCCTAAGAGTTTGAGGTTGCTATGAGCTATGATGCCGCATCACTCTACTGACGGTGACAGTGAGACTCTGTTTTAAAAAATATATAGATAGATAGATAGATAACAGATATAGATATACAGATTTTTTTTTTTGAGACAGAGTCTCAAGCTGTATCCCCCTGGGTAGAGCACCATGGCATCACAGCTCATAGCAATCTCGAAACTCCTGGGCTCAAGTGAGTCTCCTGTCTCAGCCTCCCAAGTAGCTGGGACCACAGGCGCCCACCATAATGCCTGGCTATTTTTTGGTTGCAGCCGTCATTGTTGTTTGG